CAGTACAATGCTTGCCTTGCGGGCATGAGGACCTGGGCTACATTTCCACACACACACCATCCCATAGAAGCACCTGAATACTTACACACACACACACACACACACACACACACACACACAGAATAGCCCCTACCTTTGGCACAATTGAGACTATAATGTTGGTAAGAAAACCACTACTGTTGTCCTCATAACTACCAGTTCATGTATTAGTTACCTTTCTGCACTGTGCTAAAACTCTGACAAAAGCCATTTAGGAAAGAAAGGGTGTGATCCGACTCACAATTGATTTTCATTAATTACGGTGGCTGTGCCTTAAGCAACTGCCATCCTAATCCACAGCTACCAGCCACAGGAATTCTGTTCCCTGAAGGCATCAGCTCTCTCAAAGCCACTAAAGGAAACTTTATCTAAATCTCTGTTCCTCTACAGAACTCAGGATTGAAATGTTGAGGTGGAATTTTGTTCACTCAGAGAGGCTGAGTGGTAAGTAGCTTACCTTCTCTCCTGCCCAGCATCCTTCTGCTTTGCCCACACATGGTTCCTCCCTACCACTTCCTGTCAGCTAATTCCTGGCTCAGTTGCCTGACCAAGGGTTAATTTTATTTAATCAAACGAATGTGACACGTCTTTGCATCATTAAACAAATATTCCACAGCACAAACGAATGTAACACATCTTAAATTAATATTCCACGACAGACAGTTCCAGAAGGATAGAGGCTATCACCACTCTAGAGTCCGTAGCCCCTGGGAGAATGGAGCTGATAAATGAGGCAGACTAAAGTCTCCTGCAACAGCCAACTTTATTCAGAGCATCAGACAACTTATAATCTGAGGGTTGGGGAGTCACATGATTAAAGAGTATGGTCACATGGGCAAGATGCACATGGCTGATTAGCCACACTAGGCAAAGGAGACATAAACAAATAACAATAGCCAATTGTGATGAATAATCCAAAGTAAACTCACACCTATCCGATATACATGGAGAAGCATGAAAACACATTCCAAGAACAATTCTGTCTTTTGGAGAAGGTGAGGTCACAAGAGTCTGGTATTGTTTTCTTGGAGCTTTCTCACAAGCACTCAGAAATCTACTCACACAACTCTATTTTTGGACTATGTTCTGACAAGATGCTGAATCTCTCGACTAGCCAACAGTTGGGGAAAGCATGGTGGAGGAGCAGGAAGCTGGCTGAAGACATTTTCATCCACACAGGAAGTGGAAAGAGGCAGGAAGTGGTGCCGGGCTACAAAACTTCAAAGTGTGCTCCCAGTGACCTGCTCCCCCTGATGAGGCTCTGCCTTCTACAGGTTCCACGACCTTCCCAAACAGCACCGCCAAGTGGGGACCAGTGTGCAAACACA